GTGATTCTATGACTACAAAGTTATTTGCTAGAGAATGTGCTCTCGTAGTGAGATTTTACCATTGCTCCAAGCTGAAGAAAACTATCTACAGGTTTTTCCTAGCGTGGGTTTTTTAATGAAACAGTCAGAGGTGACTCATGTTAAATATGAGTGCACACAAAATAAATGTAAGAAAAAATGTTCTTTTATACAAAGTGAGTTAAATAATTCCTTTCAGCTTTAGTGACACCTGCAGTGTACAGTGAAACCTTTCTAGACAAAGGTCATTATAAATGTGATTGTTATGAATTATGTCAATTTAGCCACCAATTAACAACTTGAAAAAATGATTACACTCATTATCAGGCATGATGCAAAGCTAATTGAAGTCCGTGGGAGCTTTTCTGTGGAGTTCACAGATCTTTGGATCAGACCCGTAAGTGTATAGCCAAATAACAATATTTTTTTCTTTTCTTAGATAGCTAATTTTCTTGTGCTCTATCTAGGTTGGGGAAAAACATTGAACCTTTCTGATTCTAACCTGTATTACCCCATTAATAAAGAATGAACACTTGTTCTAAAGCTGCAGATGAAAATGAGTTCGTGTCAAAAGTGTTATTGTTCTTTCCTTCCACATATGGCCGTATGATATGCTGGAGCTTCAGAACATTCTCATGAAAAAGCCAAATAATATGTCTAAAATGGAAACATTTCTTTAGCTATTCTTATAATTAAAGAAGAGGAAGAAAGACAAGCATAATGGGTTTTTATAAGTTGTCAGAAAAATCACTCCCTTCTTAACAAGATTCATTTATGAAAACATTTTTATAACTTAAAAATAAGCAGAAGGAAATAGTGATTTCTTTTTTTCCCCTATTGCTTTATTCGTAGACTATAGGCACTGTGTTGGCTAGATTTCAATAGGGTAATCATGATTTTCTTTACTCAAAAGCTGTAGTTTTATGTGCATAAGGTTACTCAGTAGATTTTCTGAGCTATCTTGTAATAGTGTCACTTGCTATTTGAAGGGATATTTCAGTGCAACACTCTGTGTGTGTGTGAATAAATACTCATCTCAGGGTAGTCTGACAGCTGAAAACAGTGAAAAGAAAGGAGATCACTAGTAATAAAAAGCACAATTTCGAATTATAAGAAAAGGTGAGAAAGCAAATAGGAAACTGCCTTTCAATGACAAGAGTGCGTAAACCAAAATCAGAAGAATTGCTAATATTCTTGAGATTGAAAATGAGATCAAAGGGATCTCCAAAGCAGGGTGGCTTTTTATTGCATGACAAGTACTTAAAGTGAGTGATTGACTAGAAAATAAAATTATTCATATAAAAAGTTTGCTTAATTAGAACTGTGATAGTTTCTAGGGTTGGGTTTTTCCCTTCTTTTTTTCAGTTGCTGATTCAGTTTGAGCCTAAAGCTGTCTGTTTATCCCTGGTATCCCTGTGGCAGGCAACATGAGACAGGACATATATGGTCTGGTCAGTGTCAGTCACACGTCACCATGAGACTGGATGAGATCAAGGGATATTGGCAGACCAGGCATGAAGTGCTGGAGTCTGCTCTGAGGGAGCCCTGAAGTGTGCTCTAAATTCTGAGGCAGAGTTGAGGTTCCCCTGAAATGTCCAGCTGAATCCCCCAGAATTTTTTCCTGTGTGCTCCTGTAGGCAAAGAACATGAAACAGGCCAAAACTGGCCTTTAATACCAAAGCAATGTACCTCCTGAACTGTACTGCACAAAGCCAGCATTACACTGAGATGTACGCAGAATGTCTAAAAGTAGGTCAAAAAGGAAATTCTGTAGGGTACACATGCAGCATTTGCTAATGCAAAGCTTTCGCCTAGTTCCTTTGATTTCTGTGAAGTTTGGTCAGTGGCAGCATAGTGGAACTACTGACATCTGACAGTTGTTACAAAAATGTTGCTATGCTTAAAGAAAAGTTAGGATTAGGACATTAATGAAAAGCTGTTTTTTTTCTCTCCCCTCATACTGGCTTTGTGTGGTGTGGTTCCTTTGCAGCAGAATGACTCCTCGAGTCTCTCTTGCTCTACTGGATTCTCTGAGAATTAATAAGCTTTAAAGGAAATTAAATGACCATCTGGAATTACTCCTAAATTGAATTATTTTTCATTTGGCTGTACCTGATTTGAGCTTAAAGGCAAAAGAATAACACAAAAGATACTTCTGAACACCTTCTGGGTGTTGTCATTAAGAAAGTAGATAGGATATAAAAAAATAATAATATATGTGTTCAAGCATTCCAGCTTTGATAAGACATGAGTATGCAGACTTATCATGTCTGAGTTTAGTTGTGGTATTGTATTGAATAAGATAGTGCTCATCTACCTCCTGAATTATATGTGTTGTACAGCAGAGCCACACAGGATCAGCAACAGCGCTGTGTGAGTAGGAGGCATGCTGGTGAATCTCTTGTTCTCAGATCAGTTAACCTGCAAGGACTGGAGAACATGAAATCTTTGATTGGTTCCTATGCTGCTTGTGAAGGTGTAAAGGTGGAAAGTCCTTTTTTGGCACTGATTTATGAAAATGTTCTAGGCAGAAAACCAAACAAGTAGGTGACGATTTGCCATTTTCAATCCTGATAAAGCAAAATGTCCTATTTCAAGACAAAAGGAAATACAGACGAAGATTCACTCCTCCTGCATACTCATTATATAGGCTAGGAGAGAGAAACCATGCATACAAATGTTGCATGTTTTCTTCTAAGAAGTTCTTTCTAATAAATTCAGTGGTCAGAAAGCAGGGTGACAGTGACAGGAAAGGACAGGTAGCGTATATCAAAGGAAAGCACCCTGCCAGTGTGACATGAACTTCCTGATTCTCAGCAGGCAAAAGGAGGTGAGGAATTGCCTTGTAGGAAATAGAGGAGGACGTGAGCTAGGCATGCTGTACAGTTCAGAAAGATGTATTTGACAAACATGGTGCCAACATCAAACAATGCTGCACGATGAAAAGTGGCAATTAAGGAGTGGTTAAGGAGAGAGTTGCTGTGTGAAGCGGTGTGCTCTCCTGTACAGTAGGCTGCTATGAGAGCTAGTCAGTGGTTCAATTGTGGAACGTTATGTACGCCATAGCACAGAATAACCGGAGTCAAAAGATGCTGTGGAGAGCAGAAATAATTCTTCTGCTGACTCGTTAGAGATTTAGAAGGGCTTTGTGCTTCTTGGTTAATAAAACTCAGTATACTCTTTAATTGTCAAGGTAGATTGTAATGGACAGTATCTAACTGCACTGTTCCAGCCTTGGCAGTGGAAAAAAACCTGTCAAGTAACCTGAAATTAAAATAGAGTGTTTTTTTCCCAGTCTATGCTGCTGTACTGGAAGAACTGTAGAAAAATAGCTCACGAAGAACTACTGTCTTTTTATTTAATATAAAGCTGCCAGAGGGCTTTTTGCATTTTGCAAAAATATTTTCTGTTGATTTTGCTACTGCCCCTCTTTAAGTGTGTGCTGGGCATATGCAGTTGCTGTGTTGTACTTGTATTCGGGGTGTGTGTGTGTTTATTCCTGACTGGACATCTTCATTGCTACAACATTGGAGGGGGAGGGAGAATTGTGCCAGCAAACCTACTTTTTATTTATTATTTGACACTTCCTTCAAGTTGATTCTAGTGGTGTCTCTGATATTGCATGAAAATTTTTCCCTAAAGTTGCTGACTACATTGTTCAGGAATTTAATAAGTTATTTTCAGTTTACATTAATCAATATCTTGTTCCATTGCCAGTATTACTGATTTTGAGTGAAATATATTGTGGGATAAGTTTTGAGTGTTACCAAATCTTAACTTGTGTAGAAGGCTTTGCCTAGTTTTCTACTGATTAAAATTTTCATGCAATATCAAAAGTTTGTTGCACCTTTTGCATTCCTGAAGACGTGAACAATTTGATTCAGGTGATGACTCTGAAATATCTCTGATATTTCAGTTCTTTGCTGTTTTTAATGTACTCAGTCTAGTACGTAACCATTTGCATAAAACATTTCATCATGCAAGGGTGAATTCCAATTAAGACATCTACCCTTTCACATGTCAGGGTTTGGCTGGAACTGTGCAACTGGACTTTCTTCAGATGCTGGCTTTTGATAACATGTGTTTCGTTTTGCTCTTTGCTGATTTTCTCCATCTGTTACAGTCATCTAGATATTTACATAGAGAAAGATTTCTATAACATAAAAATAAATTATTAATTGTGGTGTTTGGAACAACCTTTCTCCCTCATCCTTTGTTCATTGTTTATTTTGTGTGGGTCTGAGTGTTTTAATATAAAATCTCTTTGGCTCTTCAGGTGCATTTGCAATAAGCAATTAAAAAAATCACAGTTTATGGTGACTTTCCTTTGACTTTTTCCCCACCACTCATAAGTTTTATTTCAGGGACTTCAGAGGTAGTGTTTTATATTTTAGTTTATATTTTACTTTAATAGCCTTTCCACGTGATTTGGATAATTGATTTTTCAAATCCTTTATATTTTTGGCAGTTACCATATCGTGTGTCAGGGAATTCTGCAGCTAGACCTGTACTTTCTATGGAGAAAAATCTCAGTTTTGAACCCTGTTGGGTTCTTGTCTCTTTGAATGCTCATGAGGGACTTGGAAGAAGCAATGAACAATTGTTTCACACTCATCTTCCTGTCATTCATGGATTTTATAGACCTTCATCATGTTCTTTCTCACCTATATCTAAGGCTACTCGACTGTTTATTCCTCGTATAGAAACTCCGGTTTTGATCATCCTCGCAGCAGTCTCTCAACCTGTTTCTCACTGTGCTATATCCTGTCTGAAAGGAACAGACCAGAAGTGTGTATAGCATTCAACCTGTGAGTGCAGTGTTTTTCTGTAGTGGTGTGATGATATTTTTATGATTTTTCTCTATTCTGTTTCTAGAAAAAATGAGCATTCGATTTACTTTTCTGAGTGTGGCAAAAAGCTGAATGAAATGTTTTCCTCTGGATTTCAGAGGACTATGTAAATGGTGTCCTCTCTCTCTGCAGCTGCCGATGGAATGGTGTGTAATGAGTTATGCTCAAGTGATGGCTGCTGGGGGCCAGGGCCAGACCAGTGTCTCTCCTGCAAGCACTTCATCAGGGGAAGGACCTGCATAGACTCTTGTAACCTATATGATGGGTAAGATATTTCCCTTGCACTTTTCCCCAAAGTTTCTGACTACATTGTTCAGGAATTTAATGAGAAGTTATTTTCAGTTTACATTAATCAATATCTTGTTCCATTGCCAGTATTACTGATTTTGAGTGAAATATATTGTGGGATAAGTTTTGAGTGTTACCAAATCTTAACTTGTGTAGAAGGCTTTGCCTAGTTTTCTACTGATTAAAATTTTCATGCAATATCAAAAGTTTATTGCACCTTTTGCGTTCCTGAAGGTGTGAACAATTTGGTTTAGGTGATGACTAGAAACCCACCATTTAGCCCTACTTGAATATTAGCACCCTTATTCAGAAACACATACAGTTAAGTTCTTCCAGATTAGATTTAGGCATATGTTAAAGAATACGGACCTCAAAGTAGGAAAACTCAGTCTTTTTTTTTCATAATACACTGTGTATATGTATGCACAAATATAAATAATAAAACCAACATGAGTTCTTTCCCCCTTCTCCCTGTCATGCACGTGCATCATCTTTTTTGGAGGATGGGTAGGGGAATAAGTACATATGGCACAGCCAAGGTGGCTGAGTTGGGCTTATGACAGAAAAATATAGCTTATATTAGCTGCAGCAGAAGAAATTCATAATTAGGCTCTGGAGGGAAGCAGGTGGAATTTCACTTCCTGTATAACAGTATAGCAGGGTGCCTGGCACCTCTTTTAAAGTCAAGATAAAAAACCTAAATTATTTTAGTTACCTTTTTCAGCTCAAACTGCCAGTTGGAAATATTATGATCACTATATGGTTTCTTTCTCTTTCTTTTCCTGCCTTGGATGCCAGCTCATGTAACTGTTATGGAAAGAGTATTGAATGAAGTCCTAAATACATATGTGAAAATATTCTGAATTCTTCTATTTGGACAATGCATGCAAAAAAGAATCTTGTCAGAGTACATTTTTATACGCTTAAAAGCATGCCACCTCCCCCCCCCACCCCCCCCAAAAACAACAAAACCCAAAACAAGAACAAAAGAAAGAGTTGCAGACCACAGTTGTGTTCTCATATGCACCAAAATAGATTGGGCCACATTTGGTGGCTGGTGTCGCCATGAAACCTATAGCAGAAAGATCACAAGGAGGCTTTCATGCCCAGCCCTCAGATTGGGATGTTCTGATCTGTATCGGTTAGTGAATGGTACTTATACTTTCCACAGGCTCAGTTCCTTGCTAATTATGTGAAGTGATTTGTGACCTGGGCTCGGGGAGAAGTTTCCCGTTTGTTTAAGGGCTCTGCTCATTCGTCTCTCAGGGCAGCAACTTCAGGGTAGGGTCAGATGTATTTGAATTTTCTTTTC